TAATAATTCAGTCAAGATTAGAGTTCTTGAAGAAACAGAAGGAACAATTGCAGTACCAACGTTATGAATATCAACAGAAACTTTATTTCCAATAGTAAGTTTACCTGGACCTCTAAACTCAGTAGGGTTCGAGACATTCGCAACATCTGGTGTGATATGATGCGTAGCTCTAGAATCCACCACCCAATGATCACTGGATCTGGAGACCATATTAGCTTGCAAATTACCTGCTGTCTGAGAATGGCCTTTACAACATTCACATCCTAGGTTTAAAGTTTCAGTAGCAGAATAGACTGTCCTTTATGAGCTTGAGACTCAGATGTAACACACATAAAATCTTCATCATAACGATGCCAGCATTGATCAACCAATTGACCGAGTTTGCCACATAGCTGACATTGAATCTTAGTTCGCCCTTGGCCTCGACCGCCCATCCTGTTTGTAAACGATGAGCGTGAAGATTTAGAATCACGCTGTCCATTAGCAGAGGAATCATGACTCTCTACTCTCTCAACAACATTGGCTACCATAGGAGCGTAATCAAACTGCTCATTAAACCCGGCTAACTGTGCTTCAGCATCTAGAAGAACAGTGTAAAGGCTGTCGAAGGACAGTGTTTCCTTCATTGTAGTGATAACCGCCATAAACAGTTGATACTCCCTGGGCAATCCTTTCAAGATGCTGGCAACATGTCCAACATGCGATACTGCACTACACCGCGAGGCAAGTGTCACATACCTCTTTTACACAAGTGAGATACACTCGCATGCTATCATTGCCCTTAAGCGACTGCAACTTGTAGTGTAAACTCATAGCAGCCGTCGTGGATGTGCTCACAAAAAGTTATTGCACAACACTTCATACTGCAGTTGCAGATTCGGCACCAAAAAATGAGGAAGAAGATGAGGGCAAATGGTTGACAGGAGCCACGAAGCAAGCACACTATCCTGCGCAATAAAATCCTCAAACGCATCATTGACACGAATCGCACCGGTATCATCAAGAATCGTCTCCGGCGGTGATTGCAGAGCTCCGGTCAATAGGCGTTCAAGACAGTGACTCCTTACTGTGAGCAGAATTTGCTGCTTCCACAGAAGATAGTTCATCTCATCAAGAACAACACTGATTTTCTTGTGAGAGAAGCCCGTACTTGTGGACGACTCCATGAAGCATCAGCAAGAATCGCGCAGCAAAAGTTTAGTCAAGAGACCCAAGACCAATTGGCGAAAGATACCATATTGAGAAATTGTATAATATGAACTCTAAATTGAATTCACATGGTTTTACATTTACAATCATATTAGCTTTATAGCTAGAGTCAAGCTAATAACTACTCTAACAGCCCAACAACTTTTGGCGCCTAAACTAACCGAATGCTACCAGCCATGCTATAATACATGTATGTTCACAGCAAGCTATAGCCTAACAAGGAGACACTAATCTTGCTCCTTTAGACCCAACGCCTGCACGCTTTGACAATTCGTATTTCAACAACCTGGTGAAGCAAAGGGGTTTACTCATTTCAGATCAAGCTCTTTTCAGTGGTGGCTCCACTGACGATCTCGTCAATACTTACAGATTGTACCCTCGTGTTTTGGAATGATTTTGCAAAGTCCATGATTAAGATGGGAAACTTGAAGCCTTTGACTGGAAACCAGGGACAAATTCGCACCAACTGCAGAACGGTGAATTATTAAATACTAAGTAATTGTTTCATGAAGTTATTTTGATTAAATTTGTTCCAATTGTTTTGAAATGAGCCATTTTTTATTCCTCCTGTTTGAATATTTTTTTGATGAAATGTGTGTACTATTTTGATCCCTCCCGGTCATAAATCAAAGCATATTAAATGTATAAGCATTTTTTATTCACTCATACCCATTTGATGTTAAATCATACTTCCAACATGTACCTTGTATTTCCTTCATATCATGTGCATAAACTTATCAACTCATTTACCTTGTTGACCATAGGGTGATACTATATCATTTTACCATATTCATACCATACATAGACTTCATGTATGGTAACTTTCAAATATCATAATTAAGATGGATCAAACATCATCACTAAACACATATTACTAATCACATATCAACATGCATACAATATAATTTCAATAATAGTCCAATGCCATTTTGACATACATAGAGAAATTCCTCCATCACTGTCAATAGTGTATTAGAACAACTATACTGGTCATCCCTCTATAGCTCTGTCACTAACGAGACTAAAGTCTATACAATATACGTACAAGCATTGTGGAATCCCTCTATGGCATGCCAATTATATCTCAACTCAAAAAGATATCCTTGGACAATAAATGACCACAATAACATTACCTACCCTATTATTATCTCTTGTGACATTCCATCACTTATCAATAAACCGTATTTTAAGGGGAATGACAATCACTACTAATGCATCAAGTCTGCAGTCTTTTCGATATTCGAATTACAATTTTAGGTTTTTAACTTAAATTTATTATTTGACTACAAAATGCTCCTTGTGAATTTTTACCTTGAATTCACCTTTTATTCTTTTTTTTATTTTTTCATTATTATATCATACATTAAAAGATTCATAAATCTTATATAAAGTTAACCCCAAGAGGATATATGAGTTCTAAACACAAACTCTTAAACTTCGATATCAATGTATGATTATAATTAACTGTTGAAGTACTTATCATCGACCAAAATTCATGATTATAAAAGAAAAGATAAATAGTCTCAAACAAAAGTTTAACATTATTTAAACCAAGGATCAATTTTTTCAATTAGATATCATTTTCATTTTGCTTGATTTTAATATGTTTTCACGGGTCCTATGTATGTATCTTAGATTATGTTAATATTGATCGGCATAAAGAAGATTAATAGTTGACATACTTACATGTGTATCTTTTATAATAAGCATAAGGTGATTATTTCGTTTTATAAGTGAGTAATAAATCAACCCAAAGGAAAATTTTTATTCAACAAATTCTTATTAGGGTAAACTGTAACATTTATCCTCTAACTATTGCCTCTTTTCGTTTTGACCACTAATTTTGATCAATCAGGTCATTCAACTATTTAAATGTATTCAATCAAGCCACTTTTCGTTCACATTTAACGAAATTGTTAAAGTGGAAGTTAATAAAATTGGTATAATTACACATTTATTCCTTATTATTTACACATTTCATCAATTTGATCATAAATGTAAATTAATTTAATATATTTAATCCTCCAATCATATTCTTCGGGGACTCCTTGTTAAACAAATGAGTTGTACACTTCTATAAATGCTTGAAGGTGTGCTCAAGGATCTTTAGTGAATGAGCCACTATATTGCCCAATGGATTGTAACGTTTGAAACATCATCAGTTTCGGCTCAAAATTGGCAGCATGAATTGTTGGCCGCACAATACCAGGATGTAGATCATCTAGTGTTAGCACAACATGCTCCTGAATAGGCTGATTACGATCATATATGTTTTAATATTGTTGTTGGTTTACTCCAACTCCATCTGGAATTTCATCGTCATTTTCATGTTGTAATGGAAGTTGAACATTGTTACATTTTCCAACATTCATGTTTGGTTGATTCCTAACAGCTTCTCTCCTACGACAATGAAATGTTTGTTCTATTTTCGGATCAAAAGGTTTTAGCTCGTTGTCGCTATGGGACATAAACCAACAAAACTAGTAACGAGAATATGTACCTACAAAAATAAAAGAAACAATGAAGTAAATAAAAATAGCTTTTACGCAAAACCAAAGTCCTTCGGTAATGGTGCCAAAAATTTGATGCTAAAATAATGCTACAGCAAAGTGCAAGCATACATTATCGTATTCAAGTAATAAGGCGATAACTTAGATAGCTACGAGTATCGAACCCACAGAGAACACTGTGCTGAAAGAGTTAGGAATAAAATTCAGTTCTAAAGATACCAATTAATGTTGCAGCGTTGTGGGAGCAGAAGATCAAAAATTTAATGGATTGGAAGAATAATTAGCAACTTCAATTATGAGCATGTTATGAACCAAATGACTCTGCACCTAGTAATGATTAATATTACCTAATGGATATAAGGCAACTCTCATTAACTTAATCGGTTAAATTATTAACAATGCTAGATATCAGGCAACATATATCTCACATGCTGACATCCTTCTCAGCAAACCAACGTTGGACAAATATATGACACTAGTAATGACTTTATCTCTAAAGATCATCAATAAATATTCATGAAGATAATTATATCTCTATAACTACATTAAAAGCATACCAACACATAACATAATCTCACAAACATAAAACATAATTAAAGCATTCATGAATGACTAAGTTCAACCCAACTTATCAACCATAGAAATTAAGTACAAACAAGTCTACTTGCTACTTCCCTATTTACCACACTCGCCATATAAGAGTGAGTAGAACCATTATCAAGCAGTGCAAAATATGAAATAAAGTGAATAAAAAAAGTACCAGTAATAATGCTTGGCTCATCCCGATCCTCTTGCCTCCGAGTAGCGTAAACCAACCCAGGCTGGCCCACTGTAGATCTATCAAAACCTCTACTCTGAATCGATCTACCCCTACTAGTTGAACCATAATGAGAACATGTCGATCTACTCTGATCCCTGCCTTGAGTCAGTACTTGAACACAATTATGGTTATCACCACAATAAATAAAATTAACGAAAGATGTAGCTTTTACCTTATACATACCTCCAGGCTTTTGCATCATCTTCATCATTTCAGTCAATGTTTTCACTTGTGTGGTCAGTGTTTTTAGAGCTTCGTTATCCACTATTACAGCAACACATCTACCCGACATAATTATTTTAGTAGGGTATTGGTAGTCATTGTTGGAAATCTTCTCCAAGATATCATAAGCTTCATTGTAGGACTTTTCCAGCAATGCTCCATTAGTAGAAGCATATACAACCATCATTCTTTGCATGTTAAGTACATTATAGAATATCTCCATTTATGTCCAATGTTGAAAACCATGCATCGGACATTTCCGTAGCAAGTCTTTAAATCGCTCCCAAACTTAATACAAGTTCTCATCCTCTAATTGCTTGAAAGATGTGATGTCATTCCTCAATCTAACATTCATGATGGGAGGATTAAATTGCAACAAGAACTTTTAGCCAAGTTCATTCCATGATGCTATAGCACCAGGTGACAGCGAATTGAGCCAATCTTTAACTTTATCGCGAAACAAGTACAGAAGTAATTTCAGCTTCAAGGCCTCCTCTGGCACTCATTGTTGTACGATTGAGTCATATACTTCCATAAATGCCCTCAAGTGTGCTCTAGAATCCGTGATGTACATCCCACTATATTGCCTCATTGATTACAGCATTTGCAACATCACCTACTTCAATTTAAATTTGGTAACATGGATGGTATGTCGAACAATATCATGATTCAAATCATCTAATGTAGGCACAACATGCTCACAGATTGGCTTATTCCTGTCATTGATGTTGTGATAAGCTGGCAGCATCAAAATATTTTGCAGAGGTGGAACTATTCCAGTATTAAGCACTTGTGTTGTTGATCTCCTTCCATCGATTATTGCTTTGATTTATGCACCGAAAAAACTATTAAGATATACCTACAAAAAAAGGGAAAACTATGTTTTTAAAAAATAACTCTCAAAGTAATGACACTAGTCCTCGGTAACAATGCCAAAAAAGTTGATGCTTCGAATAATGTAACAACAAAGTACAAGCATAAACTATCGTATTAAGTAATAAAGTGGATGCAAATTAATGCATCAAGTATCGTATCCACAGAGACTAGTATTACTCTAAGAATTGGCATATCATTAAATAAGTAAAATAACATAATTGTGTAGGTGATGTTGTGAACAAAGCAATAAAAATATAAAATTAAAATAAGTATGTGAATAAAGATATGAAGGGAATCACAGTAGTGGCAATGAAAGCAATGGATCGGCTCAAGCTAAAGATTATGGTATTGTTAAACTTAATCATGCAATTAATAATGTCACAGCAATAAGATCATCAATGCATCTAGCATTAACTTAGCAGGTTGTCCTTTCTCGATGGTTCCACTGATAAACTCACATCAATGCTATATCTCTATACCCACTAGCACAAATTTACCAAGTATGCTACAACAATCAATCAGCTAGATCTCTCTATACTGAAACGTTGCTCTGGCAATTTTTGGTTCCAACAATGGTACTCACCTCTCGATGCAGTACTCACACAATATCACTCACCTCTCGATGCAGTACTCACACAATATCACTCACCTCTCGATGCAATGGATTAGGCAATTATATGTCTCTATATTAAAGCCTTAATAAAATCTAGCAAATACCAATCGAATCAATGGAAAAAAGTAATTAAACATGAAATTCATAAAATATATTTAAAATCATAAGCATCCAAGGTTTAACAAATCCCACAAAAATTAAAGAGTATTTCAACTAAACAAAAATAAAACTCCCTCTCGAAATTATTTTATCATTGATGTCGTTAATGCTCTCACCGATCACCAGTCACCATCTCTCAGTGTTGTGACTTTTGCCTTCAAGTCCATCTACTGCTGCTCCTTAAAATTGCCTAAGAGGCCATGACTAACAGTAGAGAAAGAGAAGAATAAAATAAAACCCTAAAAATCTCTCTTAATTATGTGCAATCTCTTTCTTTATATAATAATTAAAAACCCTAAAAAAAGTAGGATTTAAGTTCGCATTAAATTGAGACTCATTTTCCATTAAGGCTTCTTTCTACTTTTCAGTCCTTTCCATGTTAGGATTATTTCCAATTGTCAACAACTTTCTGCTCGCGCATCGATTGCTACAGCAATAACCTAATAATCTTGCCTCGTATCAGCACACAACAACAACTAAAGCATTAGACAACGTCACATCATCAGAGTAACAATATCACAGCAAAATATCATAATTAGTCCAAGAATTACCAACCTACTTCCAGCAATGCATGTAATGTAAAATTAACTAAAAACACTCTAAATATGATCCTAATATGCTAAAGTGCAAACATAAACCTAAGTAAAAAGGTCTTAAATAATAACTCTTTTGAATAGTTATCATTGATCGTGATAACCATAAATATAATGGGATGGGTAAACAACTTACTATCCAATGTGACAAGGGTTGATCATGACAACTATATGTGTATGTTTCAACTTATGTTTTGAAAAGTAGATGGATGTGTATCATAGCAATAACTTGCACAAGTTAAACATGGATTTGTTGGCCTATTGTTCTTTTTAAGACCTTTGGGTATATAAGGCATCCTTAAGACATTCATTGAGCTTATTTAAGCTCATTTCGTTGTTAATTTTTCCTTACAGAGAAATATCATTTGAAGGACTTGTAAAGAGGCATTGATTGCTCCTTGACAAGGGAAACATTTGATAAAAATGAGAGCATATTTGAATCATCCAAATTATGCATCAACCATACATATTTGGAATTAATCATGCATGTGATAGTTAAAGTTCGAACAGATGAACAGTTTATAGCTTGTGTTATTTCCTTTCATTGAAAAAAATATTTCTAAAAGTAAGAAAATGTTACTTGATGAAATGAAAAAGTACAAGCAAGAAAGAGTTGAAGCCTTCATCCATGATTTTTTGTTGTTTTCCTATATGTCGTTTTATTGGAATAAGAACATATAATTTTTTTCCTAATAAAAACAAACAAACAAGCAAGAAAAAGTTGTTTCACCATTTTGTCATCTCTGCCAAGTAGGTACAATTAAGAAATGTGTACAATTTGTCATGGTAATCATTACTCAAACCGTAGTAAGTACAATTTGTCATGGTAATCATTAGTCGATGATATATCTAAAATTCAATTGAGATTTACATAAGAATTTACAGATCGTCCTCTAAGAGTAACGGTAGTAAAATTCGAAATTAATCTTACAAGTTTAAATTTTTGAATCACAACTATTTGTGCAAACGAGTACCAATACTCATTAGCATTTTTACCAAATTTAAAACACATGCTTCTCTACCATTGTAGAATAACTATAAAAATTATGTTTCCTTTTTTGACAACATATTTTCTCTTTTCTATTATTTAGTACATCAACATTGCATTTTTTCTAGTTTGATATTGTAATTGTAATTATTTGCAAATTATTTATTCTCATAATTTTTTTGCTCCTTTATACTTCAATTAACATTTTATCCTGAAAAATTTTATTCTTTTAAAAAAATATTGTAAACATATTATATAATTTTACAGGTTATTTAATTTATTAAATAACATTATAAATTTTACACATATGAAAAAAATATGAAGAAAAGATTTGATTTACACATATTTATATTCTTTTTTTCACACGTGTAAGATTTATAATATTATTTAATAATTTAAATACAATCTAAAATCATAAAATATATTTATAATGTTATATTTTAAAGAAGGGATTTCAACGAAAGTATTTATGGGAGTATAAAGGAGTCAAATAATTGAAGGTAAGAAATAATTTGTAAAGAATTGCAATTAGGATCAAATTAAAAAATTGCATAGCTGAGGGATTAAATTGAAAAAAAGAGAAAATTTATTTCTAAAAAGAGAAGTTGAAGTTATATATAAGTATTCTATAGTGATAAATTGACATGTAATTCAAGTTTGATAAAAATAACTTAACACGAATAATAAATTAAACAAACAAGAAAATCATCCACAATTAAATAAGGATTAAATAATGATTAATACAAAAATAAGTGTCTAAGCTATATTCAAATTTACTTTTGGTGTCAAAAAATTTTTTTTTGTTAAAAATAGGTGTTTAATATTTTTTCGGTTATATTTTTAGGTGGCTCTTGTTAAAAAAACTCGTTAAGTGACATGTGTCACATTTATATTTTTTTACTTGTTATAAATAAAATATTATTTAAAAATTTTAATATCAAAGTGACACATGTCATTTAACGATTTTTAATGGTAAACACCTAAAAGTATAACGGATAAAATATTAAACATATTTTTTTAACGAATAATTCTTTAAGCACAAAAAGAAAAGAATTTTAAGCATAATTTATATAGTTATTTTTATATTAAGCCATTAAATAATAAAAAATAAAGGACCCAGAAAAATCGCCATAAAAAGACTTTCAGCTGCCTATAAAATGGCTTTTTAACTTTCAAAACTCTTCACCCAAAACATGAAATAGAAATACTTCTCAAAATCAAAGGAGATGGTTATTCGATTCCGCTTTCCACTTCTTCTATTATGCTTTGTGATTTTATCGGTAATTTTTAGTTTCCCAAAGAATGTGACATATTACGGTCGATGTAGAACAGTTTTTCTTCTTCTTCTTTTTAACTTTTTTTTCTTAATAAATTAGAGTGAGTATAAAATAATAATTGTTTAAAATTCTTTTAACAAGGAATATATTCTGGAGATATACTTTTTCAAACTCAAAACCTAGGAGAATAACATCTCTTTTACAATTGAATTCCTTGAGTTGTTACTTATTTGTTTAATTAACTCAATTGCCTTTTTTAATGTAGTGTGTTGGAAGCAATGCAGCAAGGGATTTGGAAGAAAATTCGCTACTGCTTACTTTCACAAAACCTCTAATTCTGAAAACCATGGAAGAGACGAGGAGGAGATGATGAGTTTGGAAGACAAGTATGCTACTGCTTACTTCCACAAAAGCACTGCTGCTAAAAACCATGGCAAAGAGGAGAAGGTGAAGAGTTTGGAAGACAAGTATGCCACTGCTTACTTCCACAAAAACTCTGCTGCTAAAAACCTCGACAGGGATAACAAGATGATGAAGAGTTTGGAAGACAAGTATGCTACCGCTTACTTCCACAAAACCTCTAATTCTGAGAACGTTGACAGAGACGAGGTAATGAAGCGTTTGAATAATAAGTATGCAGCGGCTTACTTTCACAAAACCTCTGCTTCAAAACACCCTGAAAACAATGACCAAGTGAAGAGTTTGACACAAAAATATGCAACTGCTTATTTTCACAAATCTTCCAAAATGGTGAATGATCACAACATGGAACATCAGTACCATGGTCATGATCAAAGTGCTGAGATTGGCTTGTTCACCCTCGATGAATTACGTGCCTTCACAGTAGGCAAAAAATTACCCATCTTTTTTCCCATAAAAAACCACTCCCTTTACCCTCCTTTCTTACCTAAATCACTAGTTGAAACCATCCCTTTTTCATCTTCACAAGTTTCCGACATTCTGCAATTCTTCTCAGTTCCTCCAGACTCCCCAAAAGGCAAAGCCGTTCAAGATACACTCCAAAAATGCGGACTCGAAGCAGCTCAAGGAGAGACCAAAATATGTGCCACCTCTTTAGAATCTTTACATGGTTTTCTAAGCAATGCGTTTGGACCCAAGGTTGATTTCATGTTCATAAGCACAAGGCACCCCACAATGACAACCCCAATCTTCCAGAATTACACAGTTTTGGAAACTCCTCGAGAGATTGAGTCTCCAAATAAAGCCTCTTTAGAATCTTTACATGGTTTTCTAAGCAATGCGTTTGGACCCAAGGTTGATTTCATGTTCATAAGCACAAGGCACCCCACAATGACAACCCCAATCTTCCAGAATTACACAGTTTTGGAAACTCCTCGAGAGATTGAGTCTCCAAATAAAGTGGCATGTCATCCGATTCCGTATCTTTATGCAGTTTATTTCTGCCACTTTGATGCCACTGAGACCAGAGTTTTCAAACTGAAACTAGCTGGTGAGATTACTGGAGATGAAGTTGAGGCTGTTGTTGTTTGCCATATGGACACTTCAGGTTGGAGCTCTGACCATGATGCTTTTCGCATGCTCGGTGTTAAGCGAGGAGATGCTGTTTGCCATGTATTTTCTCAAGGTAATCTTGTTTGGATTAATCAGCCATTAACCATCAGTGTTAGTGCCATGTAACTGTGTTAGGCTGTTACGACGGAGCTCTCATTCGCTTCTGCTAATCGGAACTCTATCGCCATTTCAGGTTGTTTCGTTCATGGTATGCTTGTTTCGTCTTTCTATCTGTACCAAGTAACAAGTAATTAAGCAATAAAATTATGTTTTCGATTCTCGAGTAATTCCCAGCTGCTAGAAATCATAGAGCGAGTGAAAGGTGAGCTAGTGCAATGTGCTTTGTTTGGGAACCATAGACAACTTCCACACGTACAATCTGTTAGTAAAAATAATCATGCTATAGCCTGTAAAACAATATCGTTAGTATTAACTAGTACGTAATAATTAAAATAATAAAACGGTTAGAATAATTTATTGTTTGGTAGTATAAGTTAATGATTTAGAATTAATTTTATCCGGACTGATATAATTTTAAAAGTTAACGTCGTTCTTAAGATTAAGTAATTAATATAACATTTCAAACTTTTACGCTCGAAGAGAGAAAATGGAACCCAATATATATATTACTCTTTTTGTTAAAAAAAAATCTTTCGAGAATCAAAGAATTGAATCAGAGAAATATAATATTAAATAAAGAAAAATAATCCCTTTAATAGATGGATAAAATTATAAAACGATAACTATACACTCTAACCGGTTAACCTACTCTCCAAAAATAACTCCATTTACGTTACTCACACAATGATGGTTTCAAGATTAGGATTTCCAAATTGTAGTAGTTAAAAACCTATAATAGAAGGCAGATTTAAACACAATCACTTAAATGTTTTATCATCTTAATAAAAATAAGAAAGTCAAAAGGGTAGTCAACAATTTTTAGAATATACGATTAAAAACTCTCAATTGAGATATTCTCTTTTTCTTTCGTTATAGATTTAATACTTCATCAAAAGTAAAATTTCCTTTTTTCTCTCCTTTAAATTAAATTGTTCAAAGAAAAAACAAAGTCAAGATGTAAATAGACTTGATGAGGAGTGCACCGAACCCTAAAATTAGAAAAACCCTCGTTTTAAAGTTCAGTAATAGTAAAGGTGAAATTTCAAGAATTCAGCTTAACGAAATGAGGTAAGTGTCCAACTGAATGATTGATGAGCCTGTTTAATTGGAGGTATGATTATCGAAAGGAATTTGTTAATTGTGTCACGCCCCCAGAACTTCGACGCCTCAAACCGTCGAAATATCATAGTCAAGGTCTGACGGGTCGTGTCGGTCTTCTTGGCGACTAAGTAAGCCTTACCCAAGCTAAGTGAGCGTGCAAACTCACAAAGGTTGGAACCAAGCCCTCAAGGCTTCGGATTGCGGAAGCTTTAACACCAACGTGGCTACTCCGAGCCACAAGGTCGGACTATCGTGTGGAAGTGCAAACACGAAGGTGGCTACTCCTGGCCACCAAGATAGGCAACAAGAACAAAGAATAAAATAACTCAGAAAGAATAGAGCAAATGCCTCAGAGCTTATATTACTCTCTCAAAGAGAAGAATGAAATTGGGTGATTACAAATGAGGAGGGGGAGCTCTCTATTTATAGTTGAGCTCCCTCTCAATCGATGGTTAAGATCGTTTTACATGAAGGGCTAGGATTGATTCCCACCTAACCCACCTCCCTTAATTTAAGGCAATCCCACCTAACCTTATCCTTCTAGAATCCTCCATGGAACGGGCCAGATTTGAAGGTTCTGGGCAAGCCCAATAGTCTGTATAATTCTCTTACAGATATCTACACACATGTCTCGGTTCGAATCCACGAGCCTCGACACCACTGCCCCCATCGCCCTTGTTGCTTCTCTTGGACGCCTCGGAATAGATCCTTCACGAACTTGTTAAGCATTCTTCAAGAATTGGGCTAAGTCTAGTGGTCTCGGTAAGCTCGATCTTCTAATTTGAACCCCTTTATCAGACGCTTACACCAATGTCTCGGACCCAAGTTTCTAGTCTGTGACATTCTCCCCCACCGAACCTAGTGAAGCCCTCATCGCTGCACTCGACGATCCTGGGCAACACCATCTTGGATACTCTTCAGTGCCTTGGCTTATTGCGGTCCTCCCATATGAACTGTTTGCCTTGGCTTTTGCCTCGTGTAACTTCACGATCTTTTGCGCCATACTTCACATTAACTTGGTTGCCTTTCGACGCCTCCACTTGCTCATGTCCCCCCATAAGGACTCGGCCTCCCATTAATGGTTGTGCTTGCTTCGGCTCTTGCCGCCAAGTGATGAAACGGGCTAACACGCCCACAAGTGCATATCTGTCGTAGGAACTCTTTCCTACAAGTCTTGATTTGCCTCGACTTGGACCCTCTTGTCCCTTGTGGCAAAGTCTTAAATCCCAATCCAAACTTTGTTTCCCCCTCGTTGAAAGTTAGGTCTTACCTGACCAACACTCGCTCAAAATGGAAAATCAAACTCAAAGAACAAATGATAAGTGTTGAGATGTATCTTCCCCTCTGATTTAGCTGGCATTTACTCAAAATTTTGTGTCAACCCTTCTTACTCCATGAAGTCTGACACTCCCCGCATTGAACCCTTATCATTGGAGTTCTTTGCGCCATCATGTATCGACACTTTCTCACGGTAAAGTCCGATGCTCCTTCTCACATCCTCCCTTCTAACACGAAGGTTGGAGCTCGCTTCCCACCTTTGAAATGGGTGGTGTCTCCTGTACTTGGCTTCTACTTGCCATGGCAGAGATGAACCGTATTGAGCCAAGTCGCAACGCCCCCTCGATCCTTGGTTCGTCCTTTTCTTTGGACAACACGATCCTGGGCTCATCCGTTACCCTGGATGACTCGACTCCCCTCGGGTAATCTCACAACACTGTTGGCACCTCAAGTTTGCGCCACTTCGCTTGCTCGATTCTCACCCTCGGCTTAACGTCTTTGGCACTTGAACTAGTGCAAACATCATACCCAGATCCGCCGTCTGGTTCATCATTGAGTGGACTTGCTCGGCCACTTGAGGAACAACCTTCCTCATCCTCTGACTTACCTTCATTATGAAATTTCCTGCCGCTACCCTCGGCTTTTCAGATTTGGTTTGGAAGTCTTGTTCTTCTTGACTCCAAATTCCTTGATGGACTCCGCGGTTGTCAAGGCTTTAGACAACTCCTTGACTTCCCTTCGCTCTAACACTTTTTTTGCCCACGGCTTCAGTCCGAACATGAAGGTGAAGAACGCATCTTCTTTAGTCAAACTCAGGACTTTGAGCATGAGTCTTCTGAATCGGCTCACGTACTTCTTTAGTGTCGCCTTATGCCTGAGACGCCTCAACTTGGACCACGCCTCCATCTTGGCATATTGTGAGCTAACTTGCTCACTTTGCACCCTCGGCTTGATGGCTTTATCATTCGCTATCGCATCGGGTCATTTCCTGTGCTCGACTGCTTTGACACTTGCAGTCTCGTCACGTCTCGATCCTGGGCGAACTACTTGACAACTTGTAGTCGCACCATGCTTTCCCCTCGATTCGACTACTTTGGAACACGTAGCCTCATCAAGTCTTACTCTTGACTTGATTGCTTGAACACCTGCAATCGCATCGAGCTTTCCCCTCGGTTCGACCACCTCATCATCGATAGCATTGCCTCGTTTTGATCTTTGCTTGGTCGTATTGATCCCATCAATCGGACCAAGTCTTTCCCTTGACTTGGCAGCTTTAACTCTTCTGTCTCCGCCAATTTCTACTATTTCTCCTTCTCTCATCACCTTCAGGATGGTTGTAAGGCGACGCTTCTCGGAACATCCTCTTATCAAGTGAGGACCATCACAGAAGTAGCATTTCAGCTTTTCCTTGCTCGCCTTCTTGTTCACACCGGGCTTAGCCTTGCCATTCTTTCCCGATGGCTTTCCTTGGCCGCGAACAGTCGATGGCACAACTTGACCACTCGAAGAGCTTTCTATACCATCTCCCTGCTGTACCTTTTCCCGGTCTCCCCCATTGTTGACACTATCTCTGGGCATGAGTCTGGATGACATTGCTACTTGGCTTGACATATGCAAGCTTAGTCAGTGTTCCGGCTACAGCTATGGCTTCCGAAAATCTTGGGCATCACCTTGCTCTCCCCCGAGCATCGCCCCTGGTCTAAGTCCTTTCAAGAAGGTCTTGGGCGCACCCCATTCACTCATTGCTTCCTTGTATATGAGCAGCTCCCTTTTGAGCTCATTCACCTCGTTCCTCAAAGCCGTTACCTCGGCTTCTTGGGTTCTTCTCCTTGTTCTTCATTAAGACTTTTCTCGTCTTCATGAGAGAACATGTCGTCTCGCTCGGACATGCCTTCGGCGTCACCCTTAAGCCTCTCTACCTCGAGAACTGGCTCCCCTTGGTGTGCTATAGTTGCCTCGAGCATTCCTTGCGAACTTGTCATGGCATCCCCATGCTTGGACACTGATGATGCTCTCGAGCCCACCAGACTCTCTTCTTGTTTCCCACCATGGCTCTCATTGCCTTTGCGTGCGGAAACTCCTTTTCTCTTGCCCCATCTCAATTATCAAAGTAAATTGATTGAAAGTAAGTAAAATAAACTTACCGGGTTTCGCACCTTCCACCAAACTCGTTCGAAACGATCGTTGTCTGCTCGCAACGACTCGCTCTAATACCACTTGTCACGCCCCCAGAACTTCGACGCCTCAAATCAGGTCAAGGTCTGATGGGTCGTGCGTACTTAGACGCTTTAGACGCTCCTCGGTCTTCTTAGCGACTAAGTAAGCCTTACCCAAGCTAAGTGAGCATGCAAACTCACAAAGGTAGGAACCAATCCCTCAAGGCTTCGGATTGCAGAAGCTTTAACACCAACGTGGCTACTCCGAGCCACAAGGTCAGACTATCGTGTGGAAGTGCAAACATGAAGGTGGCTACTCCTAGCCACCAAGATAGGCAACAAGAACAAAGAATAAAAGATCTCAGAAAGAATAGAGCAAATGCCTCAGAGCTTATATTACTCTCTCAAAGAGAAGAATGGAATTGGGTGATTACAAATGAGGAGGGGAAGCTCTCTATTTATAGTTGAGCTCCCTCTCAATCGATGGCTAAGATCGTTTTACATAAAGGGCTAGAATTGATTCCCACCTAACCCACCTCCCTTAATTTAAGGCAATCCCACCTAACCTTATCCTTCTAGAATCCTCTAAGGAACGAGTTAGATTTGATGATTATGGGCAAGCC